TCTACATAGTGAGTTCCAGGCCAGCTGGGGCTACAGGGAGACCCTGACTCGAAAAAAAAAAAAAAGGCAATCTTTTAAATGGTGATGATGGATTTCAGTACCTCCCTCCTCCCTCTCTCTTTCCTGCACTGGGTGTAAATATTCATTAAACTGTTTGATTGCTAAAGACGCAAGTGATGTCATTGGCTGAATTTCAGCTATTCCCATTCAGCACTGGGTTGTGTGTGAGGAAAACACCCCTTTCCCAAAATGACCCAAACCCTTGGGTGGAGAGAGCCCATCCGTGGTTTACCTGCATTTCTGGAATTGGGATAAACTTGAGAATCTGCTAAGCACTTGAAGGGACTGCCTTTCATCTGAGGAATTTGGGCCTCAGCTCTCACAAGATTTCACTTCAACTACTTTTTATGTAAGCACATATGGAGTTAGGCAAGATTACTTTCTCTCCCCCAGACTGCCCTCAAATCCTTTCTCCACACAGTGGGAACCCTATCAGGCCCATCCCCTAACAGCCATTTTAATGCCAGCCAAATTTAAATTCTTTTTATTTTGTTTGAGATAGGGCCTCACTGTGTAGTCCTGGCTGGCTTGGAGCTCGATATGTAGACCAGGCTGGCTTTGAATTCACAGAGATCAGCCTGCCCCTACCTCTGGAGTGCTGGGATTAAAGGCCTGTACCATTCCAGGCCCTGCTGGATGGGGTTTGGGGTACAGCTAGTTTCAATCAGATGGAAGTGTACTCGCGGTTACTCTTAGCCTGGAAACCTTCCTGCACCCTGCAGGCCCCCCTGGGAGACTGTTATTCCTCCGGGAAGTCTTCCTAGGTTTCTCAGGATTTATTAGGGACCCCAGAAGAGGAGCTGCCTGGGCTCTGGCTGTCAGATTCGTGAGGGCCAGGGTTACACACAACCCTACTGCCTGCCTGAGCCCGGACATTTCGGGGCTAGGGATTCGATGACCACAAGGTGTCTGCCAGCTCTGTCATTCTATCCCGGTCCAGAGCTGGTTCTGGCCTGAAGCAGGAGCTGAGGGCTGCTGACTCGGACTGGCTATTTTGGGACATGTGGCACCGTCCATAGGAGGCTAGTGATGAAAGGAGTGCGCGGTCCCTTTAAGCGAGAGAACGCCCCTGAGAAACATGGCGAAAACGCGCTCTGCCCTTCACAAAGATGGCCGCCCGAAGACGCCGATTCTTACTGGTCGCGGCCAGGGTCTTGGGAAGCGCTGATTGGTGGAGAGCAGGGGCGCGTCGGGATGGGGCGGGGCAAGGCGAGGCGGCTCCCGCTGGGGCCTAGCTTACAGCCGCACCAGGACTATGTCGTGGGCGCTGAGCCGCCTGCGCGCCGCTCGGTCCTTAGCAGCTGTTTCTGCGCGTTGTGCAACGCCCGAAGGCGCGGCGCCCCGGGGGTTTAGCGCTTGGCCGGCGCCGCAGGAGCCCGGCATGGAGTACCAGGTACCTAGCGGGCCGGCCAGCAGTAGCATAGGGACACGTGGGTCGCTGGCCCGGAATCGCCGGGAGAACCGGAGCCTGAAGCTGGGGTCTCGGGAGGCGGGGACATCCAGGTGCCCGGGGGTGGGGACCGGGACCAGGAAACTGGATCTGGAAATGCTAAGGCTGTGGTTCCCGCGTTAGAGAGAGAAGGGGCGCTGGCAATACACAAGCACGTCTTGAGTCCCAACTGGCGTTCAGAAGTTCCGGTGGAACCCCCACCCCCACCCCGCCAAGTCTGCACTGGCAGTGTGGAGTGAGGGAGAGGAGATGAATTAGGAAGCTCAGACTGGAAATACCCAGGAGGATCTGGGCATGGGGTCCCTAAGACTCAGAAGACTGAGGACCCAAGTGCTTGTAACTGAGGGAACAGGCAGGAAAAGAAGCAGTGAAGAGTCCAAGAATCTGGAAGATAGAAGATGTCAGGCAGGTGGCATCAGGTTGAGGGCAGTGAGGCCTCTAGCCAGCCTTGAGGCTGTGAGTGCAAGCACACCGGTCTGATGCCTGATGGGAAATTGCCCAGGCACAAATTTCCCAGAACTTAGACTTGAAAACCCATCCACGACTGCGTTTGAATCCTCAAAGACACTTTCATCAAGTCCTCCATTTCTTTATTTTCTATTCCCACCCCCACCCCCAAAGCCATCTTTCCTGAGACTGCACCCACCTGTGGGTTCTGGTTGGATGACCTAGGCACAGGCCTTCCCTCCCTTTATGCCTCTTCTCAATCTGATTGCATTAAGCAGCTGGTCTCTAGGTTAGAATGTGGAACTCACAGTCTCCAAGAATTCCAGAATTCTAAGACCTTAGCTGGCCCCAGCCCAAGGGGGTGCCTAATACAGTGTCGGGCGAGGACAAAGGCCTAGGTGGGGATAATGATGAGGGCTGAGGGCATAGCGCCTGGGGAGCCAGAACAGGAAGTGAAGCTAAGTCCCGTTAATCCTTTGACCTTGCCAGCTTTTAGGTGTGGCTGAACTGCCCCGGGGAACTCATCTTTGCCAGAGCTGGAAATATGCCAGCATTCTCTCACCACTGCTTAACATCACACTGGGGCAATAGGGCTGATACAGCAGGCCTGGTACTGTGGCTTGGCCACTGCTGGGCTGGGTATCTCTTTCCCTAAGGACCCTTAGTGAACTGGGACTGTGGTTACCAGGATGCTGTGCGCATGCTCAACACCTTACAGACCAATGCCAGCTACCTGGAACAGGTGAAGCGCCAACGGAGCGACCCTCAGGCACAACTGGAAGCCATGGAGATGTACCTGGCACGGAGTGGGCTGCAGGTAAGGTGGGGGAGCCTGAGACACCGCCCCCCCCCTTTTACTCCCATCTGGTTGGGAGTCCTGTGGCTGAGGTGTGGATCTTTCTATTGTAGGTGGAGGACTTGAACCGGCTAAACATTATCCATGTCACAGGAACCAAAGGAAAGGTAAGGGTAGGACCCAGGAGGGTGGTGTCTGTCCATCTGTATTAGTTGCTTTTCTTGATCTTGTGACCAAATACCTGACAAGAAGCTACTTAAGGGCAGGGTTTATTTTGGCTTAAAGTTCTAGGAGATACAGCCCTTTATGGCGTGGGGGTGAGGCCAGTGCATTGCAGCAGGACCATGAGGAAGCTGGTCAATACTGCATCCTCAGTCAGAAAGCAGAGAGAGATACTAGTGCATCTCCTTTGTACTTATTCTGGGACCCCAGCCCATGGAGTGGTGTTACTCTTCCCACCTCAATTAGCCATGTCTAGATATTCCTTCATAGACCTGCCTAGAAGCTTATCTCCTAGATGATTCTAGAGCCTGTCAAGTTAGCAATCAGTATTAATCATTCACCACCCCACCCAATTCATTCTAGGGCTCCACCTGTGCCTTCACTGAACGCATCCTGCGGAATTATGGCCTGAAGACAGGATTCTTTAGGTACTAAGCCTAGGGGTGTGTCTCTTAGCTCTGTGGGGGACTGTGGAACTAAGGTCCCCAGAAGGTTGCCACTTACCATATTGACATATTTGATAAATGTGTGTAAGCAACTTCCTTGCAATCATGGTTTACTGATACAAACTAAAGCAGCTGCATCACTAAGTGATATAACCCACAGGACCATTTCATGCCCATCACTGATGAAAAGTTTGTTAAACAGTATGTGACTATATAAAGCAACTATCTGGTGGGTTTTGTTTGTTTGTTTTGGTCTTTTGGGGACAGGATCTTCCTGTAGCCCCAGCTGGCCTAGAACTCAGTTTGTAGACCAGGCTGGTCTTGAACTTTCGGAAAATCACCTGCCTCTGCTCCCAAGTGCTGGGATTAAAGGCGTACACCACCACTCCTGGCAACTGTCTGTCTTGTAGAATTTTTGGGGAGCAAAGTATGGTGGCACATGCCTATAATCCCAGCACTTGGGAGGTAGAGGCAGGAAGAGCAGGAGTTCAGGGTCATCCTTGGCTACATAGTAAGTTGGAGGCCAGCCTGGGCTCCATGAGACCCTGTCTCAAAAAAATGGAAAGTGAAAAAATAAAGTGGCTAGGCATGATGGCACACACCTTTGAGTCTTGATTCTAGCACTCAGGAGGCAGAGGCAACCATATCTCTGTGAGCCTGGTCTACATAGTGACCCTCCCCAAAAGTAACACTACCAGTAGTAATTTTTTGGATTTTTTTTTTTTTTAAATTTCATGTGTATGAGTGTTTTGCCTGAATGTATGTAAATGTACCTGTGGAGTTACAGATGGTTGTGAGCTACCACATGGGTGCTGGGAACTGAACTCAAATCTTTTGCAAGAGTAGCCAGTGCTCTTAACCACTGAGCCATCTCTCCAATAATAATAATTTGTTAGAGCACAAGAGAACTTAAATTTTTTTATTACATTTATTTATTTATTTATTTGTGTGTGTGTGTGTGTGTGT